AGAGAGAGAGAGAGAGAAAATAATACCTCAGTCTCAATTCGGCACAGGCTGTTTCACACACATAACGGAACTCTTTTTTTTACGTGCCTGAGCTTCATAGCAGGAGAATCGAGCAGGTTGGAGCTAATCGAGTTATGTAAAGATCCAATTTGACAGAGTGAAGTGATGAGGAGGGATGTTCTGATAACGACAGCAGAGAAAGGAGAGCAGTCGTTGGGATGTCTTTTTTTGGTGAATGGGATAATCAGGAATCAGAATAAGCTGCAGGAAGACATGTTTCTATCTGCTGCAACGGCTTAGACACTCAGTATCTGACTGTTTCATTTACTGTTGGATTTCACTCTTTCAACACATCTGTGTGTCTGCAGTCTGACGTTTATGGAAGCCCATTTCTGCCAATGTGATAAAAAAAAAATAAAAAGATTATGTAAGTCATCATGAGAAAGTTTCTCAAAATAATGAGTCAGTATTTTGAGATATTAAGTCAATAATTTAAGAAAGTTTCTCATTATAAGGACTAACAGAATCCTTTTTTGCCCCCTCACATTGGTGGAAATGTGCTTCCGTTAAAGGAAAAAAACAAATACATAAGAAAAACAGTTATTTATGAAGCAAATACTTTAAGCTGGTCTGTGTTCTTGACTTTCATGTTAAAAATATCAGTTAAACTCTATTTTATGGTTCTGTAATTTCCTAAATAAGTTTCCTGGAAAGAGAAATAGGGAAACATGTGAGTTTGGTTAGTTGCGGTGCTTTTATGTTGATTTCTCTAAAGAGCTTTTTAAATCCTAATAACTGGAAAAACTGAGGGAGCCTTTTAATCCTAATTAAATATTAACTTCATACTGGAAATATTTTTTATTTTTATTCTTGTGTGTTGAACTGTATACTTGCCTGTAGAACAACTTTGCACATTTGCATGTTTCAGCAGATCTGCTGTGCACTAAACTTGGGTAAAAAAGACTTTAGGTTACGTTAGCAATTAACTGAAATTAATTCAAGTCAATTTTATTAATACAGTGTAGTGTCAAAAATCACAAATTTATCCTTACAGCCTCGATTTGGATAAAGAAAAAAGAAGAAAATTGAAACATTTTTCATTTAAAATGTTAAATTCTACCTCTTTTTACCTCTAAACAGTTGCATTTGTTGTGATAATAATCCTAATAATTTCTATTTTCCCTTAAATTTGTTCTATTTTACAGCATTTATACATCATTGCAGTTTCCTCAAAATGTCAAATATCAGACTTTTCACTTCCTCCCCTGTTATAATGTTGATATTGTCCTACAGTTCTCCAGCAGCAGACACACAGTGTATCGAGTCTTTATCTAAATGTGTCAAACAGAAACTCTTTTTGTCATTTTCCTCTATGATGAGTCATATTTAGGGCTCTCGGCTCTCCTGCTATGCTTCACATTGGCCACTAGGTGTCGCTCCGGTATCTATAATTGTTAGTAAAGGCTCAGTCAGAAGACTTCTACTCCATCAGTTCTGGTGGGAGACCCTGCAAGCTGCAGACCTTTGTGTTTTTCTGAGGTTTAGGGAGCAGCTGGTCATTGCAAACATTTCGACTGGATTTCACAGCAGTGTGTAAATCTCTGCGGAGATGAGATGTCTATTATTTACTGTCTGAGAGTACACGCAGCAGAGCAGGACGTCTCTACCGAGAAGCTGGATGGATTGAAATACTCAGAAAGAAACGTAAAAACTGAGGATGATTTTGTAGATGAAAAAGAAAATATGAGGTAGAGGTAGAGTGAAGTCTTTACAGTGGATATTGTAATATTGGACAGATACAAAAGAAAGACAAAGAAGTGAACAGAGAGGCAGAGCAAGACACTATAATCTGTTGATTTAAACTACAAGTACCAGGCTAAATACTACAGTCTGATTGGACAACTAGACATAATTTTAATGTCCTTCACAGGGCCCAGAATCGTGACGAACCAATCATTTGATCACCTCCAGTACCTGAGGGATCCCACCCATCCACCTGATTGACAGCCATTTATTTCAACCACTACCGTACGGGCAGAAAAGAAATATTAAGACTAATTACTGATTAAAAAACAGCTATTCAGATACAAACTGCAAAACCCAACCACCTTAAAGAAGCAATTTAATCATGTATTCAGTCTTAAAATCACTATTTTCCAAAGCAGCCAGCTTTAACATCTTTTTGTTTTGATTCAGCCAATAACACACGATATGGCCAAAAGTCTATGGACACCTGAATATTACAGCCATATGCAATAGTTTTCACCAGATGTTAGAACAGAAAAGGTGTTTGTACTCCCATTCAGACACAAGCACATCAATGAGGTCCAGCGCTGATGTTGGGCCTGCCTGCTTCAAAGTCATCCCAAAGGTACTGGAACAGGTTTATTGTGGGGCTGGCTTTAGTGTTTAAAGAACACATTAGACTTTTCTTACACCAGCCAGCGGTAACACCCTGACTCTGTTTGACCTGAATGAACAACTATGTTTACCCTACTATTTAATGTCAAAATGTCTGCTGTCTAAAATATAAGAGCTAAGGGGCGTTCATATACTTTTGGCCATATAGTTTATATTGCAATCTGCAAGCATTTGCAACTTCATTAAATGTTGTTAACACCTGTTATAAATAAATAGACATTAAGACTTAATACAAGTTACTATGATGACATTTTTACAGTGCATGCTACTATCATTACAGATGATTGTTTTTTCGATTCTCTACATCTACAGTTTTGTTTTTACTGCATGACATACTGTTCCCCGATGACAGTCCACACAGACATGTAAAATGAAAGCGTTGTTTACATTGGCATGGCAATGCGGGCTTGGCTGTTAAATCCACAGTTGGGGATCCAGGGAAAGGATGCACCGTGGCCTTTTTGAGGCTGCTACTGCCACCACTGCTTGCTGACACACTGACTGCTCTGAAAGAAGCCGTTGGAGAGGAGTTCTTTGTGGTTACAAAGTGGTTGGCACTGACGGCCGCAGGCAACGTGGGGGAAAAGTGGGCATCTTTCACATCATTGTCACTTTTGTCTGGATTCACAGCCCCATTTACAAATATTCCTGAGCTCTGATTCCCACTGTGATTCGACACATTTGAGTTGAAACTGGGCTTTGAAAGAGTTAAATTTGACTTTACTGATGCGCCAGCATTCACACTGAGATCTGGCTTTGGCTTGCTGCTGGTCATGTTCCCCTCAGATGCTTCCATACTTGCATTTTCTACTCGAGTTGTAGCATTTTTAGCCTTTGTATTGTTTGCTATTTCAATTGGCACTGAAGGAGAGTCTTTGAGTGTCATAGCAGTGCTTGCATTTGACATGGAGATGTATTTTAGGCCTGCTGTGTGGTTGTCACTCTCAGGAGGGGGGAGCGCCTCAAGCCTAGAAATGAAGCCTTGACCTGGGGCGTCGATAGAGGAACCAGTGGGGGATCTGGAGACTGCCATGGAAGAGGGGATATTAAGGCCAGAAGTGTGTAGGGGGTTCGAAATAACCGGAACGCCAGCAGGTTGTGCTGATACTGCAGAGCTAGGCTGATAACTGGGTTCAGAAATGGAGCGGGGAGAGGTAGTTTGCGTTTCAGAGTTCAGGGCAGCTTCTGGATTCAGACTTTCATGAGGCTGATGGCCTGTTGGAATATGTAACATTACATCCAGAGTTACACTGTCATTAGTGTTCACTGCTGAAGAAACTAGTTCTACAGCAGAGTCATCCGTGATATGTATTTTTGGAACAACATCCGCAGGGTCAAATAAAGCAGAGAGATGTGCTAGTTTCCCAGCTGCGGTGAGATTGTTTGAGGCCTCAGGTGACGATATTGGATCACTGACAAATCTAAAGGCATCCACTGTTTGCGAGTTGTTTGCAAGCTGTGGCAGAATCTCGTCCTTGTCATAATCTTCAGCTGAAACAAGGGGGTTTGAGTGGCTGGATTTCAATTTGTCATCAGGGAGTGTGGAAACTTGGTCAAGAGGAAGTGATTGGCTGTCTGTGATTAACTGCTGGATTGACCCTGTTGACTGGCTGACAGGGTATGTGGTGGATCTTTGGAAGGACTGTAAATGGTTGTCCAGGGGGGGCTGGGTTGTTGTGGGCTGGTGGAATCCAGCAGTTGGCCAACTGGGCGACAAGGCCCCAATTTCTGCCTCTCCCATGCTGGCAGACACTGCTGACAATGCCACCCAACCAGAGAGGAGAGAAGGGGTGATGAGAGATGAGAGAGGGAGGGAAGCCATGTAAGGAGGGGTCGCAGGATAAATTTGAAAAGAAGAAAAAGGAGGCGTGAGGGTTGCTGCAAGAGAAAGAGAAGGTAAAATGGAGGGTGAAAGAATTGGCAGAGTAAGGGCAGAAGAAATGAAGTGGGATGATTGCTGCTGTAGCCCTCCGACATTAACATGTGTCTCTGCATTTTGTGTGTCTTGCCCTGGCCTCTGACTCAAGTTTAGTCTCTCACTTGCATCCAAAAACTTGTTTGCCTGTGCCTGAGTGCTCAAGTGTGTGTGCATCTGTGTGTGAGCCGAACTGTGTGCGTGGATTAGACGTCTGGGGTGTTCAGTGTTAGTTTGTGTCAAGCCTGACTGGTGCATATAATCCAGCCCTGAAGCGTGCAGGGGGGTTGCTGTGCCAAGCTGTGCACTTGGGCTGATGTGGAGTGCCAGTGTCTGGGTTGTTGCCATGACAGATGGATTCAACACGGGGGAAGTGGGGTGATTAAATGCATCGCCATGGCCAGTGAGTGCCTGGGAGCCCCTGGAGTTAGAGTGAGCACCAGCGGCAGTGTTTGTGTTCACCTGGTTGTGGATTAAATGGGAGATTGTATGCTGCAGCCTCCATGGATATCTGTTAAAGGTCAGGCTTGAAGTATGTCTGTCTT